GTAAACAAGACAGTATGACTGCAACGCCATGCACAAAATAGTAGCTCGATTGATGATTGATTTCGATTCGAGTCATCGAACAGCAATTTCTGTCCCATTTACCGTACAACGTTTTTAGGTTCTAAACATGTACAATCTTCCCGAAAGGCGGTCAAGGTCAAAAACATGAAATTAACGGCAACGCAAACATAACATCATGTTGAAACACATCGGATGCTATTACACGCGACTGTATTTAAACGTTCGATACATGATTGCACGTCTGCATATAGTTTTTAGGCTAATATCGCATCGCACAACTATAATGACCTGTCGCGAAGTTCTCGATGTTCATTTAAATCGCACGATAAGATCGATAATTACCAGAAGATGGTATGCGCGCCGTATCGTATCACCGTGGATAAAAAGCTTCGGACGCGAAACAATTGGGTCGTGATAATAATTCCGTACCAAGGGAGGTATTTCATTGGAAATATTTCCAGCGTGTCCGTTGGTCTGGAATTTTCCGTTCATGAATAAGAATAAATGATAAGGAAAATGATTATCTTGCAGGAACATCGAGCATTATCCTCGTCCAGTCTAATGAAAATACATTGTCCGTGTAATCTGCTTGCTGTTATTCCGATACTGTATCAAGCAGCTCATATTTTAATATAATAATAATAATAATAATAATAATAATAATAATAATAATTGAGCAGTAACGGAAATAGAATGCTTCGGAAGATAGCTCATGTAAACAGAAAATTGTATTGCTTCATTAAAAAAAAATGTATGCAAACGCAAAGGAAGCAGAAACTACAAAATAATAGACGCTTACACGATAATCAAAGTAGCCCCTTCCAATGATATGATTTCAATTTAACCTTGAAATCACGAATAAAGTGAAATTACAATACATAGATGGTACAATAAATCCCTCGAATATGTTAATGTACAATTAAAGGTCAACGTACAGTGAACTTGCACATTTAAATGCTGCCGAGCCATAACAATACGAATTTGAAATTGAGATAGGTATACTTATACATTATAATATTTTAGCTTTATTTTCTTTCGAATATATTTGAATGTACTAAACAGAGAAATACCTTTGAAACGTTCACACAAATATATAATTATACTATACTTTATTCTTTTACGGTTACTAAGTCACAAAGTGAGTGTAATTTATAGCGATAGAATAAAGGCAAGCAAATATATGTTCGCCCTTTTTATGTAGTAATTAGCAAGTAGATGTAAGCGAGATATTTTCTAGAACGAAATAAAATTACTTACTCGTGCATTTCTGAACTATTTTTCTATGATACGGTATACTGCATCCGTAACCGGTAATTCGCGTAGCACAGGACATGTTAACGAATCGGAAGGGCATGAGGGTACCAAGAAAAAATTACTTCGGAACATTGTACTCATTAGCGATGTTTCCGAGTAGCGCTATGCATAGTGCCAGTGCCTATCGATCAAACTACATACATCGAAATAAATTTCCAGCGTATTAACAACAGTCATCTATATCAATTTTTATGAAACAGTATACATAAATATACTGTCCGATATTGGATAATTTATGAGATACAATTATTAACAATCCACAGATTTTACGCACATCTGACGAAAACGAATTGATGCAATTTGAAACAGTAAAGAGTTTAAAAAAACTGAATATCGATACATAATTTTCAACTGATCAAAACCAATTAAAGAAAGTTTACTGTTTCTTGCAATTAATACAAAGAATTGAAATTTTGTACGAAGATCTGCAGTCTATTTATTAGTTTCTAAATTCTGTCTGTGAACATCGCAAGTGCGAATATTGTTTTTTTAATTTTATTCATTTTAGTACTTCGTCAAATAAAACCTATGCAATAGAGACGAATTATTCCTCTATAATAATCTACAATAATCAATAGAGAATCGTATATAATTGAAGGCATAAATTCATACAGAGGACGATGCTTCATACTTGCAAAGGTTAGGACCAACGATTTACATATGGCATAGATACAAGCAACAACATTGCACTCGTCATCGACCCCAGCACATGTACTTACAGACGTGATCTCAATCTTGACATTCGAAACGCATAATCCATCCATGTGTGGATCGGGGGAACAAATGGCGACTGTAGAAAAGACATCGAGCGTCATCACCGTCTTCCTTTCAAGAGTCTCTCCGTTCCTTTCTCGACGAAGGACAATTCGCTACGATGAAGTCCAGTTACTTTTTGCAAGAAACCTAGCGTTTCTTCGTGTGTCGATAATGATCTCGTCTTATCCGTATAATATCGAAACACATTGGATGACTGTTACGATTAGACCGCGGATCTTCGTGCATTTATGACGTGGGAAAACAAAGGTACAAAAAACTAGTTTGCACTTTTTCTGTTCTACACATTTGTTTTAATACGTCTGTGTAGATCAACTTTTTCAAACTAGTCTTAAAACTAATTTGTAAAACTAATATTTCAGACTAATTTTACGCACATTTTATCGATGCCCACTTTCTTTCTTGCGTTAATTCTCCACACAAAGTCAGCATGTATCCACGACAAGTATACTCGTCGCACAGTTAAAGAGTTAACTATGAAAACGAGGACTTGCATAAAGACCGGTGGTGTCCTTCGTTTACGAATAACTTGCGCATACAATTAACTACTACAGAGACCAATCTCACAAACAGCTGAGGTAAAAGCATGCAGAAAGATACGTTAACTGCAGGTTACATTAGCATCGTTGCGTACATGTGACCATTGACCAACAAAACCAACAAAAATTGATATTTTCACTTCAAAATGCTGCCATTTTTCTCTGTTCCCTCGTTTTTTGCATCTTTTCGTTACACGATTGCCTACGAGGCTCTGTACTGCCATTAATTTTAACTATCTCTCGTTGTAAAAATTTGTGAATATTGTTGAGAGAATAACAAATATATAAAGACGAAAAACGCCGATCCAAGGAATTACATAGTTTCGTTATTTAAAAAATACCAATAAAAAGAAAAGAAACTCGTCCTCGATTAGATTACTTAAGTGTTCATTCATTGGATCGGTCACCGCAGTGTAACAATCGTCAAGCGCTCCCGGTGAATCTTTTCCCACGAAAAATGTCCGCTAAACATCACCGCAGCAGGATAACGGTACGTGGTTTCGCGAATTCGCAGACGCGTTTCGCCAGGGGAACGGAGCGCGGAGGACGACAGCAGGTATGGACGCTGGAAATGGGTTAAAGGTGAGTTGAACGTATCGATTTTCCCATCGCAGGAAGAACCATGCTCACGCTAGCGAAAACTCAATTCCGTTCTAGGATGAATCGATTTTTCGGCATTTCGTCGGCCGGAAAGCAGACGGTCTGGCAGCTGCGCGGCGTGTTTGCACCTGGCTGTCTATATGGCGAGCGAGGGAACGTGTCGTTACGACAGCCGACTTATGTACGAAAAATCTCTCTTCTGGAGCATGAATGCGCGCGCGCACGCGGCCCCGTCGCTTCGACGTCGGGCCTTATACGTGAAAATAGGGAAAAAAGGAGAGAGAGGGAGAGGGAGAGGGAGAGAGAGAGAGAGAGAGAGAGAGAGAGAGGGAGGGAGAGGGAGAAAGACGGAGGGAGAGGGAGAGCATCGGCTATATGAACAGCTGTGCGGCCCCTTTTACGAACCGCCTTTTAAAACGAAGCTGCGGCCAACTCGTACGCGACCCGCACTGTTACGGCTGCGAAATACTCTTTTTCATACCTGTTTCGCCTGGTAAGTATGACTACATATATGTATACATACTGCTGCAGTTATCCGCGGAAGTATTTGAACACGAAATTCTTAAGTCGGAAAAATTGCCACTATTTAACCCTTCTGTGTTTAACTCGGTTTCCACTTCTGTATTTTTTTCGTAATTTTTAGTAATTCTTGATAAAGTGTCGCAAACACTAAGTTCAATTAGATAGTGAATCCGGTTACTGTGGGGTGACCAGGTGCTGTGCCTCTGGTTTGCTTTCGGCCATAATTAATTTCATATTTATCAGACATATATCATTTTTGTATTCTTTTTTTATATTTACTTTCGTTTCATAAATTTAATATTTATAAGCACTTTATATTTATTGAACAAGACATCTTACATTTTATTCTTTCATTTTGTTTACTTTTTAATAAAAAATGCAATGTCTTATTCGATAAATATAAAGTTAATTTCAACTTTATTACTCCACGACCAAGTTTTCTAACTTGAGGAATTTCGTGTTCAAATACTTTCGTGAGTAACTATAGCAGCCGTGACAGTTCAAACTGTTAGGTTTTTGTCAAATGAAATTGGACGAACATAAATCTAACTCGTTTCGAGGTTTGAATATCCATGATTAATGTTCTTGTAACATAGTTTTAATAATAATAATAATAATAATAATAATAATAATAATAATAATAATAATAATAATAATAATAATAGCGGGTGGAAAACCAGAGACACGCGTTATCTTGTTGAACATTTTGAAATGGCTCTAGAAACATTGGAAAATTTTGTTCATAACTGGATCGAACATAGATTTCAATGATGAAGCTTTACGATGATTCCACCAAACTTGGTGTACAATTTTTGTTAGATCTTTTTATGGTACGGAAGTGAAGAACAGATCGCAAATGTTACTGCGAAGTACACGTTTCATTCGATGCTCATTAAACATAATTAAATCTCACGTTTAACGATGCTTTAAGGTTATCTACGCTTCTTTCAATGAAAGCGTATCCATATTCATGTTGTCGTCGCACGTTACGGTCAAGGTCAAGATGGATCCAAATACCTACAATATTATGACCTTCGCGTGACTTCGTTTACCGAAAGTAAATGGAACTAGATATGATTAACAAACACCATCGACAGATTGATAATGAAAATTACCATTAACTTCGTTCGTTCATCGTTCATCAAATCTGTTGAAGTTACTACACACTGTTTCGAGCAGTTGCTAAAACTTCTCCACTGATTTTCAATATGTAATTTTTGGTATCAAAAGTTACGCAACGTGTCGATAATAAATCAGATATCGAAGATGGTGAAAATTACAATGCCGAAAGTTACAGTTCAGTTAAATCCGTACCGACCACGACAGAGCTAAAAATAAATTGATAATTTTTGGTGTAACCGCAAACGCATTTGCCGTTTCGTAAATGGAAATCCACTACATATTGCAGTATATGGTAGCTATGTGCTGTGACAATATTTAATCGACTGTTGGTCAATCATACAGTATGAATAGCCTGTTTCGCAGCCGCGCGGCGCCCGGTGCAACGCAAACGGCCCATTCCGGCGAATGTCCGGGTAGCACTAATCTTTTATCAGGCGCATGCAAATGAAGAAATTTCAACGGGCGAATCCAGTTAATACCCATTTGTGAGTCACAACTGTTTTCGCGGAACATTGAAGACTGCTCCGGGGTTCACCGGAGACGAAAGCATCTCGAGAGTTCTTGAAAGGAACCATTTGAAAGTGAACGAGAGAACGACGATACAAAATGCGACCATATAAAGGCCAGATCGTCAAAAGAAAACTTCATAGAAAACGGGACAAACTAACGCCAGCGACACGGATGCTGCTCATAAATCGGATTCGTCGATATCGCCAGGAAGAGGTTCGAGTTGTTAATTTAGACAGCACGAGAACAGCTTTCGCTTTATGCAAATAATTACACAAAAGTTGCTGCACGTTAAGAACGAGATCAGGAAAGCTCGGCGCAGTTTTATCCGGAACGTGTGATACAAATATATACTGTATCTCTATAGATATAGACTCTATCTCTGTATTTCTATAGAAACTCTGTTTTCAAAGATAATAGAGAATTTCGATGGGGAAGTGTTTATACGACGCTACACCATCGACATCCGACTTTAACGTTTACGCAACGTCTGTTAGACCGTTGTGCAAGTTTCTTGAAATTCATTTCTATGTGCGTCGAAACAAAGACGGTATGTTTTAAAACAACAATAAAGTACGGAGAGTTCGTTAGCAGACAACCCATTATGTAAATCATTATCGAACACCCGTGTCTACGACAATACGAAGTGGGCAGAACCAGTGAATCATACGTAGAGAGACTCGACTATTTTCAGGGCGTGACGAATTCCTCGTTACGAGTCTGATATGTTAAAAAAGCAGGTATTTAATTGTGTACGTTCTTCTTCCTGTACCAACTTGTGGCTGAGCTGCTGCAGCGTTTGCTGTTTTCAGTTGAAAATTTCGATCGAACGTGCTTGCTTCATCAATAATTCAGTTGTAGATAAAGGAAACCTAGTACGAAGTAAACAGACTCAAGACACAAAAGGGTTCAACTTGCTTCAGAATGCAACAGTTTTCATCATCGATAGACAAGGGTCTCAGCATCGAACATTTTGCTGTCAAAATCGTAAAAGCTCGGTCATCAAACATTCCTCAAACATTAAACGTTTTTGTACAATAATTGCGAATAATCTGAAGATACTTGTGCGATCGATAAACGCGTATGTGAGTCATAGAATACGACAAACGTTCGCGCACAAGGAAGTTCGATTCAAGAAGAACGATTTGCGTATTATTACGCGTAACATTATTCCACTGCCAATACTCGACCGTAGATTGCGGATATTTACACGAAGAAAGAGTTGCAGAGACTGATTCATGGAAACTGCAATTAAAGAGACATCCGTTTATCCCGCTAAAGACTCCAGAGAGTTCCAACACGTTATTATTTATTATTCTTCAACATGGAATTATTTGTTCAAACTTGAGCCTTATGTTGATACGCAAGCACTAATTTACTATAATTCCTGTAATAATTTTCGACCCTCTAATATCTATTTATGGTTTCAAGATGAAGATTTCTACAAATGATCTTAAAACTTGAAGTTACTTACATACACATTATGTACTCCAAATTTCTCCATTTGCAAATTACATACACCTTTATTCACACTTCATTGACCGGAAATCTGTCAATAGATCTTTCAAATGATTGAGCTGTATCGAAGAAAAGCGCGATAATTTTCTTTCAAATAATAATTTGAAGAAAACTTGCCATATTATATATTAATCCATATAACTTGTTAAATTATGGACGAGATTATCGCAGTTTTCGAAATTTTTTTGAATGTATTCGTAACCGTGTAACACCGATTTGAAACGAACTATTAGAAAACTGCCGGTGTGAACAAAGTATGAAACAAAATGAAAATCGCAGTTAACTTTCCAACTCTGTTACGCAGAAAATGCGTAAATACCCGCAGCTTAGGAGCGAGCTTACGACGCAATGCATATGGACTCAGGATAAAACGCAGTATGTATAAAGTTTCACGAGCTCGTCCGAACAGACATTGCTATTCCCATCGATGTTCTCTGCGAGTCACTTCGGCTCGCGCGACTTCGTGTGAAAGACCTCTCTCTAATTGACGATACCACTATGGTCGGGAGCAGAAATTTAAACGCCACGATCTTCGATACTCTCTCTCTCTCTCTCTCTCTCTCTCTCGCTCCCCACAATATCCCCGCTACCAATTTCGATGCTTGCACCGACATCTGGTACCACAAGACAGGGCCTATCAACGTCAGCTCTGTGTAGCGAGGTCTCACGAAAGTAACATCGCAACGCAACTCTGCTGAGAGTCACTGGCCACGTGAAGGGAAATAGGGGAAAGTGGAAAGATGTGGATACATACATATTGTGGTTATGAGGGATTCCTTGCTACCAACCTCGGCTCCCTTTAATCCTATATACCTCGAGCCAATATCGCAACCGTGTAATTGCGATTTGAAGCCGGGGCATGTACTTACTAAATTACCGACCTGCAAATTAATGCGTTTACGACGCCAACATGTTCATCATACAATCTTTGTACAAGGTTACAACTGCGGTAAGTGTGAAGATAATTGTTTTTAGGGACAAAAGACTGCGCATCTTGGCGAGCTAGGTTACAGAGAATTATGCAATAACGTATTTCTTTAGGCTCCTGGAGATTTTAACGTACTCCAAGGTAGATATTTGATTATATTTTCCTATTGTTTCAACAGATTGAAAATGCTTAAAGCAAAATTAACTTTTAACTCTTTTGTCTCGCCGTGTAAGTCTGGCGATGTTTCGAGCTTGTATTTCTTTATAAATAGCTAAAATAACTACATATTGTCTACAGTGCACGGAAACTTAGGTACTATACAGGGTGTCCCCGGTTTTAATGTTCAAACTTCGTCAGTATATTCTATGGCACGAAGTAAGAAAAAAATGTTATGTAAACATAGGTCATATAGAGCTTCATTAAGAAGTTATAACAAAAATTCGTTCAATGAAATGAAAGAGAATAGAAACGAAATTCGCACGGTCATAAATTCGATCTTCGATCGATGTCAATCATGTATTTGTCCTGTCTCTTATACACATCTAGATGTGTATAAGAGACAGGCTTTATTAAGAAGTTATAACAAAAATTCGTTCAATGAAATGAAAGAGAATAGAAACGAAATTCGCACGGTCATAAATTCGATCTTCGATCGATGTCAATCATGTATTTGTCCTGTCTCTTATACACATCTAGATGTGTATAAGAGACAGGCTTTATTAAGAAGTTATAACAAAAATTCGTTCAATGAAATGAAAGAGAATAGAAACGAAATTCGCACGGTCATAAATTCGATCTTCGATCGATGTCAATCATGTATTTGTCCTGTCTCTTATACACATCTAGATGTGTATAAGAGACAGGCTTTATTAAGAAGTTATAACAAAAATTCGTTC